GCAGGCGGCGCACGAGAAGTTCCTGCTTATCGCCGCCGCCTACGAGACCCTCAAGGTGAGAGAGCGGGACCGCCGCCGCGGCCGGAGCCGCTCCGGTAAGCAGTCAGGGAGGGGAGGAGAAACACCCCGAAAAATCCTCCCTCCGTAGCCAGCCCGAGAGTGCGGGAAGGAGGATGGAGTGCTCTTGAAGAATCTTCTGTGTCTAGAATGGGTTCAAATTTATTTATTTATTTATTTGTAACGGACCGACTAGGCTTTATCTTGGAAGTGTACCTTTTCAAGTAGCAGTGACTCGAGTAGCGTATGGGATCTGTAAGGGAAGGCTTCTCAGGGCAAAGCATGTGTGACTTGGCAAAGATGGAACCCAGGAATGGAAGAAGGAGACGTGTAAGTGTTTTAAGGCTACAAGGGAATAGAAAAGGGAACTTTTTTTTTTTTTTTTTTTTTTTTTGCGGGAGTGAAGGGAGGGACAGAATTCGTAAGGAATTCAGTTGAGCCTGGCAAAATTATATTTCTCATTCTGCAATTACATGGAGGAAAATGATGAAAAACTCAGAAGACATGAGAACAATGAGGTTTTGAACTGGCCTTCCATTGGGCAGTTTCCATAGCCCTGAAAACTAGTTCCTTTAAGTTTTGTAAAACAATTTCCTGATAGGTTCTTCATCTGAAAATCTTTTCCTGAACAATACTTATTAACTCCTGTCCAGCTGGACTTCCCATTCTGAAGTTAAACAGCCTACACTGTGGATTTTAGTTGCTTGTCCGTTTTCTAGTTTTAAATGGCTTTGCACAGTGCCTGCTTATTCATTTTATGACTAAACATATCATATGTGCATGGGCAGATAAGTGTGAGAACAAATTAATAGAAAATATGAGAAAACAACGAATTTCCTCTATGTTTCATACTCCCTTGTGCTGCCGCCAGTTTTACAGAAGCATGGTCCTTAATGAGGTGTAAAACACATGTACAGTAGAGCAAGTGAAAACGGGAATTTAAGCCTGAATGAGTTTTTCATGTCATCCTGCAGGATGAAGAAACACGTAAAGATTATGACTACATGCTGGATCATCCTGAAGAGTATTACAGGCATTACTACCACTACTACCGCAGGAGATTGGCACCTAAAGTAGATGTCACAATAGTGATCCTAGTTACAGTGTGTGCCATCTCCGTGTTTCAGGTAAAATTTCACCTTTACATCCTACTGCTCTCTGAGTTTCTGAACAAGAAGAAAAGTAGTGGCAGCTCTCATAATGTGCCATTTAATAACAAGTGTTATTTGAGGAGCTGTTCCTCTGTGCTGTGGTTCAGGTCTGTGTGGTGTCCATAAAAATCATGAAGTCAGGAGGTACTTAGCAGATTTTTGACTGCCCTTAGTACCTTGAACAATGGTAGAAATTAATTTTGTTGAGACAAGGTGCATCTTTTCTGAAGAATTTACTCGATTCTTCCTGGCAGGCTCAGAGTATCTCATGCAGGACTAGTGCCCCAAATAACGTGTGTCAATTTGTCAAGATGCATAAGTAAATTTAAAAAAAAAAACAGACTAGCAAACTGAATTCAAGATTCAATTCAGATGATAGAACTGAATATCAGGACTTTACTAAACTTGTGTGAATCTCGCATTGTGGTGTATTTTAAACACCACATTCATGAAGTCAGGAGAGAAGCAAATTCAGTTCAGCAGAGTTTACTCTGAAGGTGGTAGATCCAAGGCCAAGAAAACCCCCTGTGTTTTAGATGAAAAAGCTTGTGCTGTTGCTGACAAGAGGACAAAAGTGCATAACTTCTCTTTAGAATCTTTTAAATCACTGGTTCAAAACATCATTAAAAATACCCAAGAAGTTTAAGAAATGAAGATACGGCTTATGCTGTGGTGCAGGTTGCTCAGTGTTTAGTAGGATATTGGAAGTTAGAATAAAAAGTATGTTGATCAGAATTTGAGAACTTGGAATAATAAATTCTAATGGCATATTCAGCTAGATATCCAATTTATCTTCAGATTTAGAAGCGACAATGTTTCATTTCATATCTTATTTCTTTTCTGTAAGTGCAGACACTTCACTTTCCTGGAGTCCCAACTGCAAAATGCTTCTAAATTTTGTATAAGCGTCTATGTGAATTGGTTTGCCCATCTTGCTTTCTGTTGTTTCTGCTCCTTTGCTAAGGTTGTAATAATGAGTTTATGTCTGCGCTTGGTCTTGGTAAGCAGTGTGACAGTGTGACATGTGTTAAAAAAGTTGCATCAGTGAGACATGCTTGGATGTCCCAAGAAATAAAGTGAGCTGCTAACTTTTTCCCTCTTTGCCTATCTAGTTTCTTCCATGTTTTCTGTGCCTCATCTCGGGTCATTTACAAGACACTAGAGGGGAATAACATCAGCTCTTGGCTAGTCTTTGTGCTTCTTCTGTCTTCAGAAGGAAGCATTCTCAGGGTTGTGCTGTACAGGGCTAGAAGCTGGACTTGGTGATCCTTGTGGGTCTCTTCCAGTTCAGGATGCTCTATGATTCTGTGTTCATCTAGGCAGTAAATTTCTGGTTTGTTGTCTGGGGGCTTTTTTCCCCCACTCCCTTGAAATCCAGAGGGCAGCTGGAGATCAGAGAGGTATGTTGAGTCTTGTAAAGTGGACACTGCCAGACTAATGAGATTGTCTCATACTTTGTCGATGTTCAGTAAATTGTTTTAAACAGTTAAATTAAACAGTTTAAATAGGCACTGGGTAACAATTTTATACTTAAATATTCATATACTAGCTGCTATATTTATAAATCTAAAAAGAGGGGCTTCTGAGAATGGCTGGCACAGCCTGGTATTAACTTGCAGGAGATTGGCATCTACTCAGGAACAAAGCTGTTGAGAGCAGTGTCTGCTTGGCCTTCCTTGTCATCATAAATTGCTGCGAGATACACTTGTATTCATCCATTTTCCAGGTGCTTTACTGGGTCTGGAGGGATAGAGACTGTGACACCACAGAAGTAGTGTTAGCTTCACTTTTTACCCTTACTGTAATGTAACTGTGGTTAAAAGTGTGTGACAGCATTACTTATTTCTTTTCCTGGCAAACCCCCAGATAGGAATGTGTCTGTATTAAAACATGGTTTTACATTTGCTGTTCTTAAATTACAGTTCTTCAGCTGGTGGAGTAGTTACAATGAAGCTATCAACTACTTAGCATCTGTGCCAAAATACCGTATACAAGCTACTGAGATTGCCAGGCAACAAGGTTTACTCAACAAGACTAAAGAAAAAGGCAAGAACAGGCGGTCTAAAGAAGAAATTCGTGAAGAGGAGGAAGAAATTATCAAAGACATTATTAAAAATAAAATAGATATAAAGGGTGGTTATCAGAAGCCCAAAATATATGATATCCTCCTATTTCAGATCCTTCTTGCTCCTTTTTACTGGTGCAAATACATAGTTTGGTACTGTTGGTGGATTTATTGTTTCACTATTAAAGGGCAAGAGTATGGTGTGGAAGAAAAGTTGTATATCATACGAAGGTACATGAAAATGTCTCAGTCTCAGTTTGACAGCCTGGAAGATCATCAAAAAGAGATCTTTCTTGAACGGCAGCTTTGGATACGAGAAAACTATGAGGTGGGTAGTAATACTGAAATTGGCCGGGAAATAAACTTTCTAATACAACTTGAAGTATTAGAAAGCAGGCATTCTTTATTACAGCACTGGACACACTCCAAGCATATATACTCTAATCAAATGTGTGTCTTGAAACTTTACAGTGGGGTATTTATTCCATCGTGATCATACATACTCATTGCAAAGTACTTCCTAGCTTATACATAAACATCACTTTTCCTAGAGCTAATTTGCAAGCATCTGAGTCCTGCTGGAAGTCCTTTTATGGTTCTAGAGTCTTGTCTGAAGGGGTCTGTGGTGCTTGTATTGACTGAGTGCTTCAATGTTACAGGTGTCCTTTCCTTGAACTTTTTCTTCCAGCACGTGATGTTGCTTCTTATTACATGCAAAAACACCACTGTTTTCCTTATTATCTTATTAGTTCCTTATTACTTCCTTATTAGTTCATCCACTGGTTCCAGCTACTTTTACATACTTTACCTTTTTTTAGTAATTAGTCTTTAAGGTCTATCCAGCAGCTTCAGGGAAACTGAAGATCTCTCTTCTCTATGTTATTTATCAGTAGCCCTGGCGGAAAAACTAATGTTGGTTATCCAGCAGTCCCAGAGCAGTAATAACAGTGTGCTATTATGGTAGGTTGAAGACTACTGTCTGTTCTCCAAACTGTAATAATTTTTAATAAGAATTACCCAGATTGTCTGAAGCTCCTATTTATAAGTCTTCTAAGCTGTTAATTTCTAGCTCAGACTGTTTTGATTGGTTGGTTGTTGTTGTATTGGTTTGGTTTTCCCACCTGTCCTTTGATAGTGCTTTGGCCTGTCGTGAGTTGTAGACTGTTCTTGCAGTGCTGCATACCTGTTCAAGTAGGGATGGCATAAAAACCACCATTAGGCACAACTTCTGCTCTTGCCATGGACAGTCATGAAATTAATAGTCAATACTAGGTAGTCACTATGTGATTTTTAAAAATTCTGTGAGAGCAGAGAAAGAACATGAGCCACAGCATGGGATCTGCAGTCCAGAATTATTTGGGATGCTGGGGCATGGGAGGTTGACAAAACCCTCCTGTTATTCTATAGAGGTGCATCTGTGAGCCATTTGGATGGGTGGTTTCTGAAGAAAAACATGAGAATGTTAACTTAGTCTGCTTCAGGGGAAAAAGAGTTGGTGCTGCAGTTCTGCATATGCTGAGAAAAGAGGTAGGATGATGGCAGGACACCAAAGAGTGTTTTCTGGCAAACCCATCCTAACTGAGCACATATGCATACCTGGCAGCTAATCCTTTTCACAATAACACCTGTTTTACCATTTTCCTCTTCAAGTTTGTAGATAACCTACCCTTGCCTGCTTTTGAAGAAACAGTCTGGGAGTCCAAAGACTGAGTAATACTGCTAGTTAAAGCAGATATTAACATGGAAAAAGATTGGATGGATGTCCTGTAGTAGAGAAAAACTGCACTGGTTTCCCATCCATGCAGTTTTTAACAAAGGATGTTTTGATCACTGAATGTGAAAGAGCTGTATTTGCCACAGGTAAAGTCTTTTTAGCTCACACTTCTCTCCTGTGGTGGTCAGCAGTTCATTTTCCTGACAGATACAGGACAACTGCACCTGTATAGTAATAGTTATCCCACATACTTTGTGCTTTGTAACTTTCTGAAAAGGAAATTTTGTCTTTGTAGGTAATTGCTTTAATAAGTTTTACCTGGTCAGTTGTATGCGTTGAAGTTTTCAGTCTCTGCTGTGCCACTGGTCATGAGTTCATCAATACTTGTAAAAGGCAGTAGAAGAGGATTTTTGAAGCCACCTGGACTTCCTGCTCATTCCAGTATTACTGGAAATGGAGAATGATCATGCTTTGTTCTGTTCTTGTGCTAGCTGTGCTTTTGTGTACCACTGCCATATCCTTACTTGAAACGTAGTAATGTATTTTCTAGGCTGAAAAATATTGCTATAGTGTTTGTCCCCAAAAGCTTGTCTGTTCCTTCATCACTGGAGATACCTGTCTACTTATTGTTCAGTTTTCCAGTGTTTTAGGATGGGAAAGACCAGGAATTCAATACACAGGGCTCCACAATATTTTTACTGTTTCCTAATGATTCTTAAAACCTTTATGATCACTGAGCATTGAGTGTGTGTATTCATGTAGCCATCTATAACATGTTTTAAAATCTTGTTTGTATAGTGGAGCCCTAAATTTAATAGGCCTTTGAGTTAGACTAAGTCACATGACACTGAGATGATAAAATCATGGATGGTTTTGAGATTTATGCTGGCTGCATTTACATAAACTGCCTTCCAGAATAAAAATGCAGATACTGTTGCATCTTTCTGCCTTTTATTTTTTTTCAGATTATTGACTTTGCTGATAACTGTTGATTCCACTGCAGTGAGAGAATATTACTTGACAGAATATAATTGTTTATCTTTTTGTACTGTAAATACTGGATGCAGATATTTGAGATATTCTCAACTTTGCTGAGAACCTTACTTAGGAAAAAAAAGTTCCATAATGGTATTCTGTTAGATTATTACTTTGAGAAGGAAGAACAGCTAAAAATGAGGAGCTGAACAGCTGCATTGAACAGTGTGTGCTGAAGGGGTTAGCTTTTCAAAACACAAGCAGTTGCTTAGTGTGTATTTTGTTGGATTCATTGGGCATCTACTTCTCTAGCAAAGAAATGTTTTGAAGCTTTCAGGAAAGTTGTTCTGCTCTCAGAAAAACACAAAGCATCTTGGGCAGTGAGTAGTAGGCTCTTGGGCTGCAGGTGCTCCAACACTTCGTGTTGGTCAGAATCTGCTTCAGCACTGCAATCCAGTCTTTTGTAAGAAAAATGGGCTGGCAAACAATTGAAGAATAAACACTTAGACCCCAATGAGGCTCTGTTAAGCTGTTTCTTCATCCTTATTAAAAACCTCTCTGTCTTACCAGGTGTATAAACGAGAGCAAGAGGAGGAGTTAAAGAAGAAGATGGCCATGGATCCCCGATGGAAGAGATACCGGCGGTGGATGAAGAATGAAGGACCTGGAAGACTGACTTTTATTGATGATTGAAGGTTGCTGAACAAAATGTGTGCTATTGCTGAAAGTGATTTGCAAAACTTTTCATTACATCATTCAGAGTTTTGTCTGCTGTGGCTTAGCAGTGATCTAAAACTCAGGAACTATTACATCAGGCGGAAGCATAATACAGGTTTACCATTTTTATAAATCAGACCTATTAAAACAGGCTCAACCTGAAGTATATATGCCATTTACTTGGGGATATCAATGTGGAATTCATTATTCCAAACAATGTATTTTTACTAGATACTTCAAATTCATCAATGAACCCATAACTCTAGTCTTTCTGAAAATGTTTTTAGTTCAAACCTTGACAAGTCTCAGTTTTCCTCTTTAAGCTGAAGGGTTTCTGCAAGTGGAAACTGAAAATGCTTATAAAAGATTCTGAAGTAAGGGCCATTTTCTGTTTTCCTCTCTTTCCTCCTACTTTTCAATCTAATTTCTAAGATGCCAAATTGGTTGTTTTTCATGTAAACAATATGGGGATTATACAAGACTACTGCTATTCCTGCTTCACTTGGAAATGGATTTTATTCTTTGTGGGAATAAATGATGCATGATTGATCATCCTTGTGATGCAAACAAGCCTTAATTCTTTGTTCTAAGAGTAATTAATGAAAGCGTATGCTTGGATATTTTGTGGTTTTTCATCTTGTACATTGGATTATACCTGCTTGTTCAGAACAAGTATGCCAGTGAATATTAGTTTATTAAATGTGACATTTCTTTCAGCAAAGTATTGATTAAAGGGAAAAATGACCCTTTTGTTAAAAAGGGCAGTTTTGATGCCTTATGTAAATAAAAGTTTATATATGCAGACTTAATTAGTTTAAAATTCTAAATCTTAAGTATTCATTACATTTATCTCTTCTGATCAGACCTCTGAGTACTTAGAATAAATAATGCATAACAGCAGTCTGTGGTTTGCTCTGTAACGACCCAGGTCAGAGAGTTTCTGTGATTTGCTGGTAAAAGGGATTCTGCTACCTTATTCCTCTTCAGTAATTTTACTGGGGCAGGAAAGATGGGAGCACAGTCTCTCTCCTGTCCTCACTCTTGTAAAAGTGAGTTCCTTAGAAGGAAACTGCTGAAAACAGTGCCTTGTTAGCTGCCTTCTGTGGAGATTGGTTCTGGGAGCACAGGTTTTGAACTGCTGCTCCTGACCTTTTGCACATTTTTGAAATGTAGTTTCAGTTTTCTGTTTAAAATAACATATTCAAAAACATGTGTTGTAGTTTTATGTCCAGCTGGAGATGAAACACCTCATAGCCACTTGTTCAACTCTCCTTTCTTTGGCCCCTGCCCTGGTAGAACAGAGACAAGAGTCAAAGTAAAACTTGTATGTTCTGATAAGAACAGTTTAATAATTGAAATTACATTAACAATGAGAAATAATAAACAAGTAATGCACGATGCAAGTGATCACCAGCCACTGATATGCCAGACAGCCTTTCCTGCACCCAGATCCACAGGCCTTCTGGGTAACCCCCCAGTTTAAATACCAGGCATGTTGTTCTCTGATGTAGAATATCCGTTTGGTGAGTTTAGGTCATTTGTTGGTTTTTTTTTTTTATCTTCTCACTGGCAGAGCATGAGACAAGGAGGGAAAAAGTCCTTGACTTTGGATAAACACAACTTAGCAAAAACCCAAATATCACTGTGTTATCAACACCATTCTCATTCTCAGTCCAAAACACAGCACTGGAGCAGCTACTGAGAAGAAATTACCCCAACTGTAATCAGGGTATAGCCCATTGCTATATCATCTATATACTAGCTCTATCATCTATATCATCTGCCTTATGTCAAATTTCACATTCCCCACTATCACATTACCTTCCCTATTTATCTGTTTTAATAGATACACAAACATCATTCTCTTAGTCAATGGAACACTGTTAAGTGGTCATAAAACAGACACATAATTAGAAAAATTTGTTGAATTCATTTTACCCATGACTTTGGCCTTCATCCTTGGTAAGAGCCTTTCAAGCAGAAAAGATGAACTGAGGTATTGGTTTGTTGCTTGCTGCACATTTGAGCCAGTTCTGACCCCAGTACTGCTGCACTTGGTGGTTTTATCTAAGTTGATTTTTGTGAGTGCGGTGATCAGAGGAAGTCAGGCTCAGACCCCCAGAACAGTTGTGATTAGGATTGATGCCGTGAGGTGCTCTGTGAGGTGATGCACACGCACGTGATGCACCACTTCTGTGTGTAGAAGTGGAATAATAGCTGCATGTGTAATAGAGTGTTGCCTAGTGACAAACATCATACAATTTAACTCATTGGCTATTTTCACCTAAAATCAAATTGCCTTGAGGCACACACAGGACTTCCCCATCCTCCAACGTTACCTGCCAAGTGCACCTGGGTCCTTGAGCAAAAGCAATCCCACAGATGGGTTTGCCTTTGCCTGGGGCAGGAATAACCCAGACTTTTTTTCCCAGCATGTTTTTAGTAGGCACTACGGGAAATTTATCCCCTTCTATACCACAAAAAACATTGGGCAGGGCCAGCCTGGCTGGCAGATCCTCTGGTATCTAACCAGGTGACCTTTGTTAAATGTGTATCCCAACATTTGAATGTCCCACCACTCATTGCTCTCAGTGTAGTCTTTACAGTCCATTACATAATTCATTCTTTCCAGAGGCTGGTGCATGCCAGGGAATGATACAACCACTCAATGCCATGTTCTTTGTCTCAAATGTCTATGAGGACATTTAGGAAGGAAGTTCACTGTCTGATTCAGATCTTTCTGGGGTGCCATTTTGCCACAGGACTTGCTTTTCCAGGCACAGGATGGAGTTCCAGGCAGTGGCATGAGGCACAGGGCACTTCCCCAGACATCCAGTGGCTGCTTCCACCACTATAAGCACATGGCACTCACCACCACAGACTTGGGGGGCTATATATGGTCAATCTGCCAGGCCTCCCCGTATTTATACTTCAGGCACCATCCTCCATGACAAAGAGGCTTTACCCACCTGGCCTGCTTTTTGGCAGCTCATGTTTCACATTCATGGATAACCTGTGTCCTTGGTCAGGTCCATCTCTCAATCCCAAACCCATCTCTGTGTGGCATCTCTTCTTTGATGTCCCAAGGTGTCATGGGCCTACCAAGCTAGAAATAATTGACTCTTGAGTTGCCAGTCCAGGTCCACCTGATGCTCCTGAGTCCTGGAAGCCTGATCCATCTGCTGGTTATTCTGAAGTTCTTCAGTGGCCCGGTGCTTGGATACATGGTGCGCCTTCACAACCAGGCTCTCCTTCCAGGCAGCAATATCTTGCCACCATGCAGCAGCTCAGATGGGTTTACCCCTACACTGCCAATTTTTCTGCTGCCATTACTGCAACCGCCCCCACAGAGCGTTTGCCACCGCCTGTGAATCAGTATAAAGCATCGGCCACTTTCCTCATTCAGCCATGTCCAAGGCCAGCTGGACAGTTTTCAACTCTACAAACTGACTCGATTTACCTTCTCCTTCAGCAGTTCCTGCAACTTGTTGTGGGGGACTCCATACAGCCACTTTCCACCCCTGGTGCTTTCCCACAAGGACAGCAAGGACCAAAATAAAATAGGCACATTGCTCCTTCCTTTCTGGTAATGTATTACCTAGTGGTGCCTCTCCAACACATATTACCTCTCCTTCTGGTGACATTCCCATATATTTGCCTTCTGGCCACTCCATGATCCTTTCTAAGATTCCTGGATGATGAGGTTTCCTATCCAAGCTCATTGTGCAACCAGTGCAACCCACTTACTCAATACAGCATTGGTTGCATGGTGTGTAGAGGAGATATCCCCTTCAAATATCCAGTCCACTGTACAACCAGCGTACCAGGAGGAGCTGTGCTTCAGTACCAATCACCTCCAAAGTGGCTAGGATACCATAAGCTGCTTGGTATTTCCTTTTTAGTTGGAGTATAATACACCTCAGATCCTCTGTATGCCCAATCCCAAAAACCTAGGGTTCAACCTTGAGCCTCACCTGGCACTTTCTGTCAGAGGCTCCAGGAAGAACCATTCTCTTCAACTTCAGTATAAAGCACATTTTTTACATCTTGCCCTATTCAGACTGGCCCAAGGGATGCACCATGAATTATCTCCTGTTTGATTTATTCAAAGGCTTGTTGCTGTCCAAGGCCCCATTCAAAATCATTCTTGTTCTGTGTCACCTGCTAGTGGGAGCTTACAATCAGACTAATTTGAAATGTTCATTCTCCAAAATTCCACAGTGCCTAAGAGGTGGTGTTTATTTCTAGGTAGTTGGTGGGCACATCACTGTTATCCTATAAATAATGTCCATTAGGATCTGGTGATGTCCATCTTGCCATTTTATTCCTAAAAATTGCATGTCCTATGCAGGTCCCTTTACCTTACCCTGTTTTATGAAAAATATGGGCTTTAGAATTAGGGAAAAATGGACTTTATGAATTTATGAATGCCATTATTTATGAAAATATGGACTTTAGAAAAGGAAAGAAATTTTCTTTCTCAAAATCTCTCCTGCAGTATTCCTCCAAATAAAGATATCATCAATATATTCCAGGTGTGCTGCTTTACCCTGTTCCATGGCAGTCTGGATCAGTCCATGGCAGATGGGACTGTGTTTCCCTCCCTGGCAAGGTCAGTTCCAGGTCTAGTGGACATCCCTCCAAGTGAAACAAACTGAGGCCTGCTCTCTGTGCCAGAGGGGTTGAGAAATCATGTCAGCAATGTCAGTGGTGGCACCACTTGGCTGCCTTTGACTGGCGTTCGCATTGAAGCTCCAAGTGTTGGCTGTGGCAGCACTCAGAGGTGGCATTCACTCAGGCCACGATAATCTACTCTTAGTCTCCCTCCCCATCAGACTTTCACAGTTGCCATATGGGGCTGCTAAGGGGTAAGCAGGTCCTGCTGATCACTCCTTGGCTCTCCAGCCAGCAAAACACCTCATGGGTAGGAATTGCAGAGTCTCCATTGGAGCCCTATTACCTCCCATGCACCGCTGTGGTGGTGGCAGGCACCTGCTGCTCTTCAGCACCCCCACAACAGGAGAGTCCTCTCAGAGACCAGCCAAGGTAGGCCACTGTTTAATTTCCGCTGTCTCTGGAGAAGTTATACCAAAAGCCCACCAATACCCTCTTGGATCTCTGAAATACCATCTCCCGGCACAGTCTCTGCCAAGGATGCATGGACCCTCTGGTCCAGGCACACTAGGATGCTTTTGCCTCTAATTCCCAGTTGGACAAATAGCCTCCAACAGAGTTAGTTGTCACTCCAGAAATACAACTGGATACAACTGGATTCTGTCCCTGTATAGCTTGATGGCATTAGAGTACAATGTGCACCAGTATCTAGCAAAGACTTTAATCCTGTGGGGCTGCTGTGCCAGGCCATTAAATCCACACAGTCCAGTAAACCCAGCCATCCCTCTCTTCCACCTGGCTAAGAGGCAGGGCCCCTCTAATACTGATCTGAAAGTTCCCCACTAACATCTTGTAGAAATAGACTAGAACTTCTCTCCACAGGGCCAGTAATATGACCAGACCTTCATTCTGCCTGGAAAACTGTCTGCTGGAGA